TTTCCTTTGTTTCTGTTTCCCTTTTCCTGAAAACCAAAATTTGATTTTGAAGCTTTTCCCTCGTACAAGTTACGTAGTTAAAAGGGAATTTTATGAATTTCTTTCGCCTTTTAACTTATTAGAATTGCGAGTTTTGTCTGCTATCAATCTTCTTTCTTTTTGTCTCTGTGCGCTCATTTTTGCCTCTCCTATCCAATGTCCATCTAGAGTTCTCTCAACTTTTTGGTTTATTTTCACAATTTCACTTTATCTTTTTATTCAAAAAAACAAAAAATGTTACCGTTGGTACAAATTCTCTTTTCTGACTACAAAGATGATATTTTTATGCTTTTTTTTTTAAAAAAAAGATGGGTTGCATTTAAAATCAACAAGAAGCGAGAGGTGAACCATAGACCAGTTAAGAGATGAGAATCGTATAGTTGACAAAAAACTGAAGAGCTGACAAATTAGTAGGTTGCCGCCGTATCTCAAAATCATTGATAACCCATCAATACCGAGCAAGAAGACTCTCTCCTCTCCGCCACATTATTCAAAACACCAAACAAACTATCCAACCATCCATACCATGTTGTATTATTATTTTTATACTCTTCAATGTATTGTATTATTTTTTCACTATCTCACCCATTTTTGTGATTCGTTATTAAATTTAAATTAACTCCTGATTTTTTAATCATACCATTCAATTATAAAAAATGATGTATATTTTAATTGCGATTAATAATTTTACATTACTACTTTTGTGAGATTTTTTTTTTCTTTTTCTCTTTATCCAAAGGTTAAAAGAGAAAAAAAAAAAAGGCAAAAAGTTATTTTTTATAAAATTACAAAAGAACAATTTTTAACTATTAATTTACTCGGTTTAAACTAATCGAGATATTGTAATAATTAATATTATTCGTTTTTAATTAAAAAAACTAAATATTTGACTATTGTAATTATTTTAATTAAAAAAATATAGTTTTCACACGACATTACTTTTATCAAAATCCTAATAATATTATACGTATATACATACCCATGAACACGCCGAGTTAAAAAATTTGAAGTGATGCATCCGCATATCTATATATATATATATATAATTTAGAAATTTTGAGGGAACTTTTTTATAGGGTTGAAAACATTGAATTTTTATTTTTAAAGTTACCACGTGTAGAAAAATGATTGGTAGATAATTTAATTAGTTAATTGACTCGAATTGACCATTAATTTATTCAATTGTACATGGGTAAAAAAGAGATATATCGGCGAGCAACGCTTTCGAACATTATTATATTATATTTTATATATATATATATATGTCTGTATTGTATTAATAAAACGTCGTCGTATTAGCTAGTAATTTTATATGGATGAAATTAGGACTCTCTCTCTGTATAAAATGATCGAAGGCCAAGACGCAGAGCTTCTTTCTATTATAACTCTTTTTATCGTCCTCTTACATGTTCATCATTTGAAACTCACCTTAGCTTTGACGATCATGTTGATCAGATTACCGGTTCGATTTCCGCTCGTTGCTTTGTACGTAATTTGCATATCGACTTGTCTGGTTCGTTCTCAAAATCAAACGGCACCTACTACCGATCCCGACGAAGGTATATAAGCTCTTTCTTCTTCTTCTTCTTCTTCTTCTCCTTCTCCTTCTTCTGCTTCTTCTTCTTCCTCTTCTCCTCCTCCTCCTCCTCCTCCTGCTTCTGCTTCTTCTTCTTCTTCGACCATCAGATATTCAGTTTTATTTTGTTTTTATTATTAAATTATTTGTTACGGGTGGTAGCGTTTCATTTATAGCCACCATATGAATTAATTCAAAATTCTTAAATTAAGTAAATTATTTAATAAAAAAACAAAATAAAAACTATATATATGCACGTGAATTTTACTTATATATATATATATTTTTTTTCATTTTAATTTTTATATATAATGTTTATAATTATTTTTTGTGCACTAAAATTGAGTAATTATTTGAAAATTTTGGTACATTAATAGTTTTTTTTTAAATTCAATTAATATAAATTTTATTGTCAATTCGATTAATTTTAATTAATATAAGACGAAATAGTTTTTTTTTTATAATTAAAATAGATTATCAAAATGCTAATAAATAGTTTATTGTCAATTCAATTAATTAGGTATAAAGAGAATTAAAAAAATTAATCATCTTCATAATTTGGTTTAAGCAATTTATAAGATTAATTAATACGAGACAGTTGTTTACTTTAATTAATTATCTAGAAGTCATTAAAAAAGATTCTGGAATTGACAAATTGAGAATATTTAATTATATATATATATATAAATACTCAATTTGCACCAGTTGACCACCCAGGCTCTGTAATAAAATATGTTATAAATTATTGTACTTATTATAATTTAATTTTAAATATTTTTATCTGATATTTTTTTTAAAAAATTAAATTAATTAAAATTATTTATAATAAATAAATAAATATTAAAGATCATATTATAATAAATATCAAACTCATGTACTAAATTTACCTTATGATTTATAATAATACCTATTTTAATTTATTTTTCTATTTTATAAAAAATTATGAATATAAATCCAATTGATTGAATTATAATTAATTCAAATATATTATTTAATTAATTAATTAAATATGTCACGTTGACGGCTGAAAAAAACAAAAACTATAATAAAAACAACACGTGGTAGGTATTCAGTCTTTTTTAATTAATTAATATTATTTATTTATTTATTTAAATTTTTAAATAATTAATAATTTTTTTTGGAGGAGACAGCAAGAACTCTGAATTCAATATTCTCAAAATGGGGAATAACGGCCGAACCGGGGTGGAATATCAGCGGAGAGATTTGCAGTGGCGTGGCATTATCAACCGACGCCACCAAAATCGACGATCCTGAGATCAGCCCTCTGATCAAGTGTGATTGCTCTTTTAATAACAACACTCTCTGTCGCATTAGAGAACTGTGAGTTTTTTTTACTTCTTCCACTCCCCTCTCTCTATTTCTATTTTTATATACAATAATTCAAAATTAATAAAAATAAAAATAAAAAATACCTGTCTGAGTTTTTCTTTAATTTATGTAATTAATTTTGAATAAAATACTTATTATAAAATATTATTCATATATTTAATTTAATTAATTATGGTAATAAAAAAAAATTAGTATATATTAGAATTCAAATAATATATTCCAACACTATTTTTTGAGCTTACTTAAAAAGTTAATT